GGTTTAGGGGTTTCATGGGTAGTTATGAGTGGGGTTAGAAGTAGGGTAGCTGTAATTATAACCCATATTAGGGGACTTATATCTCCACTTATAGCTACCCATGAACCTCCAAGCAGGGGTGTCAAATTCAGGGCTGCGCAAGAGGCGACCTGCATCTGGCTGACACACTGCTCGAGCATGGCCATCCCACTGCTTCGCGAAGTACTGCTGTTCACAGCGTTTCTGTACTGGCTTTCGGCGCTTGAAGGTTCATGGGTAGTTATAAGTGGAGTTATAAGTCCCCAAATATGGGTTATAATTACAGTTACCCTACTTATATCCCCACTTATACCTACCCATGAACCTCCAAGTACTTGTGCACCCTTTTGCCGAAACAAAGCTGTGCGAAGATGGGCGTCGGGCTCTGCATGTACGCGGCGTCCTTCACGGATTGGGCGCGGTCAGCGGGGCGCTCGTTGGGAAACGTCGGCGAAGAGCGAGAGTCACATGCCTTTGGTGAATGATGCTTTCCCAAGTGTGTGACCCCAAACCCTAAATGCCGAAGTGTATGTGGGGGTCAGTCGGCATGCGAAACATTGTCAGTTCCCTCGGCTTTGTCAGCCCCCTTTGAGCGTTGATCGAACATGTAAGCATCGCCTGACATCAACCCCAGACTGAAGTTTCCAATCCCTAACCCCAAGACCCCAAATCCTAGACTCCACGCCAGACGCCCAAACCTCCAAACATCTGTGGCTTCGGACCCAGCCCCCAAGAAACTCCGAGGTCACTACGCGGAAGTTGGCCATCGGCTGGCCCAGCAAGGGGGGCCATCTCGCCAGACCCCTGGCTTTGGGTCTTTGTTGTTTTGCTCAAGCTGGGTTTGAGATATGGGGGCTTTTCGAAAATAGGGGACCCCAATATAGTACCCTAAATAGTAGGAGCCTTGTTATCCTAAATAGTAGGAGCCTTGTTATAAGGAACCCAAAATAAGGTGCCCCTTATTTTCGGAAACTCCCATATCTTAGGCTTAAGGGGATTTGGGCAGTGCGAGGTGTAAGAGTTTGGTGCTGGGGGTTGACAGGTAAAGGAGTTCAACAGTATGGGAGTCTTGGCTAGTGCAGGAACACGTCCAAGCTTTTGTAGAGCAGGTTGAAGCACACATTCAGTCCGGCACGTGTTTAACCTCTCCTTGCGTTGCAGGTTTCCCAAGTTTCACACCCTGGATGGAACAGAAACCGGACCTTGGATAGCGCGTCCTAGCAAGCTTCTTCTACTCGCGAGGGTTGTCATCGACGTTCGGTGGAAGCCACCCAGACGATAACAA